CACAAGACAATGGTTGCTAGCTATTTTGCTAAAAAATAGCGCTATTTTAGATGCTACAAAAATCCGTGGTCTCTGATATAGACGTGATAAATTGCCGCCCTTAAAAAATTACGTAATAAATAGCACCCCCTAAGTAATTTTTTTTCTGTTTATCGGTTTTTTCGTCCTACCCTAGCAATTAATTTGGTAGTGCTATGATTTGATGACCTGCGGACGACAGTCACAGAATTTTTTCGTATTTGAGTACATTTGGGTTTACATGGGTTTTTTCCAGACAAATTCTGGGTTTTTTTTTCAACCCACCCGTCTAGTAGCTGTCGTAATAACTCTCATGGTAAACAGTAGTATCATGCGAAGGTTGTCCATTCGATACTCTCAAATTCTACACTGTTAGTAGATGTATCACAAAAGCGGAAGGGACGGTTTTTCATTTGTAATCATTTGTAACACCCCGATGAGAGACAAATATGTTTTCTAATAGTTTGAATTTAAAACTCTGTTGCTAATTTAGTTATTATGTGTTGCAAGATTTTGAAAAAAAAATCGTATTCTTGCTCAAAATAAGGCGCATGCGCGCTTCAAAATAACGCGCAGGGGGCGTTATTACGCGCAAATATGATACAATATATTTTATATAGATATTGATCTGCTATACTTACTGTTAACCTTTTATAATTTTTTTTAGTCAATTGATTTAATAATTAATCGATTACAATCTCTACTGTGTATAAGAAAAGAATGTAAATGTAAGCGAAAAATTCGATAAAACTCGTAATGCCATTTTATGGTTGCCTCATTTCAAGATTCTTTAAAAACCAGACCTTCTACAAACAGCAGCTTTATAAAATGGTCAAAATAAAGCATACTTTTTAAATAAACGCAGTAATCAATGTTAACAAAAAAAAAAAAAAAAGGTAATTCTGAAAAGGAAAAGTAGTTCAGATGAAATCTGCGATTTGCACAAAAAAGTTCCATGTCTGCAGTGTGAAATATCCCTTATCGCTGCTAAAATTTGCTGATTCTGACAAAAAAAAAAATTCAGTTTACAATAATTAAAGTTCTGCTATACTTTTTAATATTCTTATCGTTATCGTTACTATGTTTATTTTGATGACCAAAAAAGCCTTTTCTATATACAACCATATGGTTTGTAAGCTGATTCATTGTTTAATTGCTAAAATTAACGTAAAGATTATCGTTATCGTTATTACTATTTCGGTAAAATTAAGATAATCTATCATCTACGTATCATGTCTGCAGTCTGCGTGTGGAACAAATAAATTACGTCAATATGCTTTAAAAAGAAATATACCGATAACTTTAAATATTTATAACAATTGATTTTTTTTTTATCCTTAAAAATAAGAATGTCTTTTCAAGTAATTCACCATCCTGTTGTCAACCGTTCTCTCAAATATGCAAACACAACTGTTGGTCGTGATAAAGTTTATAAGGGAGTTCAATTCTTTGCACGATTCTTGGCATGGTATCTTAGTCGCCTTGACTATGATAAAGATACGATTAAACGACTTAGCAGTTTAAAAAGCACAATCGCCTCGGCTAGAAAACGTATGTATAACGTCCTTGAATTTTCGTTCAATATTTGATTTCTTATCTTTTTATATCAAAATTTATAGTTATGCGAATTGGAAAGTTTGTAGAACATTTACAATTTGCTTCTAAAGCTCTTAAGGAGAAGGACGAATTCGCTAGGGTTACTACATTAGGCAGGCGGTTAGGCTATACTGTTTATTTATTTTGTGATAGTTTAATTTGGGTATGCTTTCATGATTTTTCATTTTTACTTTATCCATTTTCATTAAGATACTATATTTGAATAATTATTACGTTAAATTTATAATAGGCACATAGTACTGGCGTTTATAAATTTAATCAAATAAAAAGAATAACTAATACAGCATCTAAATTTTGGATTATTGGTCTTATATCCTCGATCATTCATTGTTTTTATAAATTACATCAAAATGGTTATCAAACAAGTTTTTTAGAACGAAATAGTAAATCTAAAAATATTGAAAATAGTGAACAAAGTTCTAGTGTCCATTCTAGTGTTAACGATCTTAAAAGGTTTGCATTTTATTTGTCTTTTAGATTATGTTAAATTTAATTTTAATCAAGTAACTATTTGTCTTAGGGAACGCAAAAATCTTATCAGACAACTTTTCCAAGATCTCTTTGATATAGTGATCCCTCTTACTTCCCTTGGATATATTCATCTAGAAGATGGTATAGTTGGTCTTTCTGGAGTATTCTCTGCTATTATTGGTGCTAAGATTCAATGGGAAAAAGTGAAATAAATATTTAATTAATAAATTTAATTATAGAAGACCTAGTAGCGCCTGAGTGTTTTGCAATTTTTCGAATTGATAAACCTTTTAAATTTTTTTTCATTAATTTGCCAGCGAATGTGCTTTGAAAGTATCATATGCTTTGAATTCAACAAGAGATATACATAGTCTTACTGTATATTAGTCACCTGATTTTAAATTATGAATTTATTATGCCGAAATAATAACTTAGCCGAAAAATCATTCTGCTAATTTTTTATCAGGTGTCCCAGGAATTATGAAAACAGCTAGAGGTTGGATCCTTTGAATATCCATCATGGCTATTCAGTAAATATTCGCGGGTTTGCGCAAATATTCATGAATGTAAACGAGCCAACTATATCAATTACAAATCCATGAATTTTGTGTAACCGAATATTGGATTATCTATTTCTAACCGTGAATATTCATGGATCCGACCTCTAAAAACAGCTGAAAAATTTTCCGGGCGGGCGGGTCATTAATCCTAATATCGGCAAATAAATTTAAACCCCGATTACGTACATGATCTTGGTGGCGGGTCATTTTTTTTATGTTACGAGAACCAAAAAATTAACATCATACGCCTTATATACGAAAAATAAATTTATTCTAGCATTTAAATTTAAGTTTACATCCCTATTCCTGTATTCATAAGAATTTTAAAATCTTAGCTTTTCACAGAAATAATAATTTCGTCATATTTTCGTTTATGCTAGTTCTTGAAAGTAAAAATAAAATTTTTGATTTTTTTCATTTGAATTTCTACAAACTTTGAGCGTAGATTCCTTGATAATGTTTTATTTATTTTCATTATGAGCTTAAGCATTGAAATTGAAATTATCGTACAAGTGGCTGACAGGAAAAAAATGGAACATATGGTATGTATATGAATCGACTAAAATTTTCTAGTTGACTAGCAAGTCGACTGCTAGTCGATTTAGTCATATAATATATTAAGTAAATAGAAGCTACAGTATATACGTTCTCAACTATCGCTATCAGCTATGTAATTTATATTCAATTGATTTTTAGTCAATAACATTTAATCGAATAGTTCTGTAGTTGATTAATTACCTCATCGTTTGATCGGATCTGCAAAATTATGACGTCATTTGTTGTATTTTATAGTACTGTAGTAACAACTTTATTCTTTTTTTTCTTGTCTATCACTTCGTCTTTCGTTCCTAAATTAATAATAAAAGAAAATTTTTCTATTACCTATTTAACCCTAATTCTAATATATCTAACTCTAATTCTAATATATTTAACCCTAATTCTAATATATTTAACCTTAATTCCACCGCGGACTTGACGTAGTTTTTTTTAAAGACCTGCTCCAACGAACGGCACACCAATTCAATTTCTACACCAACTTCAATTTCCGTGCCTAGTCTCAGGCTACTTCTCGGAAGACTATTCGCGTTGTCGCAACATTTTCAAGTCAAAATGTCAAAGTTTACGTATTTCCACTTCTCCTGACACGACGAGCTAATAGGTTGGATATCAAAGAGGAGTAAAGAAAAAGGAGAAAAAGGGAAATAAAAATTGAGTAAAGAGAGAGCGATGCTATGAGATAACTGTGGACCACGTGAGCAGCGAGGCGATATCCCATATAGTATTTTTCGTAGTGATGTTTCGTTCTAGACCCGGGTGATCGAGTGACAAATATTTATAGCATAGCAGAAAAAATGTCGATCATACCCCGGACAAAAATTTTATAACTTGCGAACTTTTAAAAAATTAGTCAATATACTCTAAAGACATATTATAATTTTACAATATACTAATTCAGTTTTGTATTAACAACTTTAATTTGGATTTTGCAAGGGTTTTGTTATTTTTTTCGCAATAAATACATATAAATGTCTACTAAATAACGCGTACACGACTATTCCTAACACTACCATTACTATAACTTATTGTATTATAAACGTTATATTCACAAACTATACTTGTATTAGTGATGCCTGACGAAACCATGTGGTGCTAATTATCACGGGCTATTACTTATAAAAAATCATAATAGATTGTTGATTTTTATATATTGTACCATGTGACAATTAGTATCACATGGTTTCGTCAGGCATCACTAACTTGTATCTAAATAAATTATAATAAAAAATATTAAAATTCGGTTTAGAATAATAGTTCAAAATAATACTTTCACTTGTAAAAAACAAAAACAAACTAGTTGAAGCAGAATCTCACAATTTCACTTACTAGTTGCTTATCATCGAACCACCTTTCCGACCTTTCAAAATATTCACTTCTCATCTAGTTTCTTGAACTTCTATATCTTACTATATCTCTCATTAAAAAACTGTAGGTTTAAAGATGAAAAATAGGTTGCTTAAGTTTGTTGTTTCATCACGTATTACAAAAAAATTTTAATATGGCGTGACGATTTTTACTAATAGAAGTATTTTAAAATTTACAATTGACTGTATAAATAAATGATCATCG